GTGAACCAAAGGGGGCCACTGCCAGTAGGAGATGCACCATTCTTCAGTTGAAATTGAAGTGAAGCCATGCCTCTATAAAGGGCGGTTAGAAAGAAGGAACATAAGTTCAAAGGCCTACCACGCACCAATTCATGCGCTATAGGTAAGTAGCTCATAGAAGGTTTCATACTTGGCACACAAAGAATATATTTACAGAGCCAAATCTGAAGAAAGGCTACATGCTTAGTATGAGAAGGTTCAGCACTTGAGTGATTATAAAAGCCTTGTAGACTTGAATAGGACTCAATAAGTTTCTTGTCAAATTTCGGGGCAACACTGGAAATCAAGATACCAGGAAAGATGGTATCGCCCAAAGGCAAAAGATTTACTAGAGCTCTAATATCCCTTAAAGTAATAGACATGGAACCAAGAGGGAAAACGAAGTGTTATACTCAGAAGACCAAAAACTCAAAGAACTGGGTCAAAAATCGGGGGTTGAAGAGAAATTTCTAATAAATTTGAAATCCTAGCACGATCAAAAATTGCCTTGGTGGAGCCATGACTCACAAGACGTGCATGCCATCTACGAAAAATAACATCAGCTTTGGGCCAAGTACAAATACCTTTTTCGCGAATCGGCCTCAATGGCACAAAGTTCAGGAACGGAGGACCTTAAGTGCAAGGGAACAGCTAGCCTACCGCCACTTGTCCGACGGCTTCGATATTATTGAACGATGGACCCAAATAGAATTCATTGAGGTCAGCACTAGCTTGTGCAAGGAAGCTTGGATTTACATATGGCATGGTAATGATTTTCTGGAAATCTTCAAAACAAAAAGAATCATCAGATTGAGTTTGTGAAGTCGCCATTGGAAACAAAATACAGTTTTGATAAGGTTGCCTGAGAAACGTAGTAGAGAAGCAAGAAGATAAGCAGTAAAATAGCGAGGAAGAAGCCTGAAATATAGAGACGTGGTTTAATGGTGTGATAAAATGTCGTGTCCTTTTGGTTTATAAGGGTTTGTAACGTTGCACATTTTCAGACTATAGAAGGAAATAATGATTGAAATTCTTGAAAATTTCAAATATTGCTGGAAAATATGAACTGAATATGGTAAAGATTAATAATTAGTGTTAATTCTGCCATATTGGGGGGTAATTGTTGATACACTAAAAGTACAGCCCAAATCAAATAACCCAAAGAGTGAAGTCCAATTGGAGAATCCAAGATAAAGGTCCAAATAGGATTATTGATGAATGCGGTGGAAGCCCACGAACACGGTAACATCATCGCCTAAGTTTGCAAGACGCCCAGAATCTGAACGAATAGAATACCTTATGGTCGCCCAGAGCGATGACCCCGTTCTCGCCCAAACCTTCGAATCGCCCAGGATCTCAGCAAGCATAAAATATTATGGTTATCCAGAATAGCAGTTATTGATTGATCTTATCACATTCCACGATTCAAGGAGCCTAGTTGAAGGTGGTTGAATGACAAAGAGTAATGGCAACAGTTAGGGACGGCAGTTCCACGACAAGTTAGCCACCATAAAGAAAGTGGGTAGTTATACGGCAATTAAGCAGTTTCCAAGCGGTTTGTCACGAAGAAACCATCAAAGGAATAGAAAAGGAAGAGAAGACATAGAGAAAAAGATCCCAAATCAAATACTCTCAAACAAAGAATATGTAATTTCAATTTCTTAGTTTAAACTTAAACATTTCTTTTAATACTCGTGTGTTTGCGCCCCTTGGAGGCATTCTGTTTAGTTCCAATTGTAAATCATCGTCAATAAAACACCCCTTTTTGGGACTTTGCCTCAAGAGGTCTATTCCTTACACAATCGTCTGATTCCTTTTTTGATTGTTAGCGACTACCCGCGCGAAACAGAAGGCAAGGCCATTACTGGTCAGCTTACCGATGGAATAAACGAAATGTGAACAATTAACATAATATGGTCATAGATATTAAGTTATAGCTTAATAGTCGATGTTTCACCAAAATAATTTCAAGACAGCTTGACATGGACGGCAGTCTATTGGTTTTCATAATAGAATTGGGGAACGCGCTTTAGTAAAAATGCAATTGTAAGTTGAGTTGGGAAATTGAAACAATTACAAATTAAGTGACTAAAATGAGTAAGTTCGATAAATGGCTTATTTATTTATAAATTTGAAGACTACAAACTGTTCTCGTGCAAATTTGGCAACCATGCATTATGATAAGCAAACTAGATAGTTCATACATTAATTGTTTTGTTGATAAACACATGTAGGTTTATCAACTTAGACCGAGACAATTTTCAGACCTAGTTTTCGACGAGCAAAATCTACCAGGTAGATGATTTCATCGTCATCGACGACCCCATCGCCATTTCTATCGGCTTTCCTGATGGCGTATTCACTCTTGATACCCTTAAACCAGCTCTCTCCTTTGACGTCGCAAAAGGCATCGTGGAGTTCCTTGCTGCTTATCTTCCCATCATTGTTCTTGTCATACTTCATCAACCATTCTTGGAACTGTTCCAAAGTCATCCCTCCATTTTTGGAAACTACGCGAGGAGCGAGACCAGCAGAATTCACCATTTCTTTGTGCGTCCTACCTTGTTATGACTTGTGACCACCCTCATAGTTATAGTATTATCATCCTACCTTGTTTTGCCTTCTTTTTGATGGCCCGGGGGGGGGGGGGGGGGGGGGGTTGGGGTTGTTCTTTCCGTGACAAAATTTATTTTTCCAATTTTAATTAAATAGTATTTACATATTTTTTTGTTCAAAAAAAGTATTTATATAGAGTAAAACAAATTAAAAAATAAATAAATTCTAATAGATGGAGAGTTTCTCCATAACACGCAGAGATTTTCTTCGTTTGGAGAGTTTTTCTCCATAACACGGACTCCACTTTACCCTCTTTTTTATTTTATTTTTAAATTTTTTTATTAGTTTTGTTCATAATATAAATATTTTTCTTTTCGATTTAAAATTCTTTTTAATTCCTTTACGAGGAAAAAGAAATTTTAAAACAATTTTTTAAGACTTTCTCTTAAAAATATGTTCTACTGTTCATTACATTTATCCCAGGATTATTATTATAAAAAATAAAAAAGAATTTTTTTTTATCATAGATATTTTTCCCGATTTTAAGTTCTTCTCTTTTCGTGATAAAATTTATTTTTCCAATTTTAATTAAATGATATTTATATTTTTTTTGTTCAAAAAAAGTATTTATCTAATGAGTAAAACAAATTAAAATAAATAAATAAAAATGAACTCTCCATAACACGGACTCCACTTTGCCTTTTTTTTTTTTAATTATTTTTGTTCATAATATAAAATTTTTTATTTTCGATTTAAAATTCTTTTTAATTCCTTTCGTTTTATGATAAAATACAAATTTCCCAATTTTTAAGAAGAAAAAAAGATATTTTAAAATAATTTTCAAAAAATATATAATAAAAGCAAACCAAATTGAACCAAAGAATGTTACTAAAATTAAATAAAGTTCTTTTCAATTTTTCCTTTTTATGATAAAATATGATTTTTTAAAAATGAAATAATATTTATATATTCTTTATTTAGTTTTCGTAAATTTTTTTTCTTCATATTTGTTTTGTTTTTATTATATACATCTGAAAATTTCTTTTCCTTCATACTATAAATAATTACGTTTTTCTTTTCAAAGTTACATTTTATCATATTTTTAAACTTTTTTGCTTACAAAATATGTTTTACCATAAACCAAAAAGAATAAAAATGAATTTTAAATCATTCATAATATGAGGAAAAAGAAAATTGCAAACAATTTTTTAAGAAATATAATAAAAATAAAACAAAGTAAACAAACAAAAAATTGCGAAAACAAAATAAAAAAATATAAATATTATTTAATTAAAATTGAAAACATTGAATTTTATCATAAAGTGAAAATAATTAAAAATCGAAAAAGACAATATTTATAGAATGAACAAAACAAATAAAAAAACTAAAAACTAAAAAATAGTGTGTTATGGAGACACTCTCCATGTTATGGAGAAAAACTCTCCATAACTCTTCATTTTTTTTCAATTCTGACTAAATATTATTTATATATATCATTTATTTAATTGTTGTAATTTCCTTTTGTTTAGTTTTTTAATTTTTTTTAAATTTCTTTTTCCTTCATATTAAAGATAAAATTTTCCCGATTTAGAATTCTTTTTAATTTTTTCCCTTTTATAATATAAAATAATTGTTTTTAAATTTAAGCTTTATTAATGTCCATAGTTGATATCTCAACCCATATTTATTGAGTAATGCTATTCGAAGTAAAGACTATCGTTAGTATCCTACATGGCATACATTTAACAATTTGGAATTTGATACATATTTGACTATCGGTAGTGCCCTACGTGGCATACATTTGACAATTTAGTGTTTGATATAAAAATATGGTAGCTATTTTTTTGAATTATACACCAAATAAAAAATGTTAATTGTATGTCAGCCGATAATTTCCACTCTGAATAGCATTATTCATATTATTGGGCCACAACCCAATTAATTCACTATTAAAATGGTCATATCTAAAACCCTAGATCATTTGTCAATACCTCCTGTCTATATATAGTCATCTTGTCTGATGAAACAAATTCTAACGGATGCCTCCAAAATAAAGCATTCTATATATTTAAGCACAAAAACTTCACAGTTCGGCCTGTAAAAAAAACTTTTATGTTGTATTGAATTAGTACGTACGAATAATTATATTTTATAGTAAATAAGAAATTTTTTCAGTGGTTACCCGTTGTTTGTATAAGGTAGGTATGGTATGATCTCTTGCTTCATATTTTTATTTCTATGTTTCCTTATATCTCGTCTCGTCTCGCAGCAAAAGCTTCGTTGAACAATATAGAATTGACCACAGTAAGTGTTGCATTCGCGTATGCCTTCACTTGATCTGGTGTATGCTCATTATGACTACAGTCATATATCTAAAATTTTCACTTCGAAATATTGACTAAAAAAAGATACCAAGTATTCCCCGAATATGAGCATGGAATTAACAAATACTTACACCCTACCCATGGACGACTCTCTACAGACAATCTGTCGTTGGCATATTGATTTAAAACGGTCCCATCTGGTATACCTTTATTAATTCTAATGACGTAATCCCTTTGCCAAATCATCATATTAGCACACTTATTTTCAAATTTAAAGTCTATGATGGCATTTTCTTTAGACACAAGAGTGCAACCATTATTGATAAGTCGCCTCAAAAACTTCAACTCCAGCTCAATTGTCTGGTAAAACAAATAAACACAAATTTAATATATTAAATATAGAATGAAATTAATTGTAATAGCTAAACTTTACTCACCATAACATTTATATCATTTGTTTGATCCAATAAATCTTTCAACCAATCTCTTCCATACATGTACCCAACACTCTTCCTATAATGCACTGCATAGCATAATTAAAATTAGTATTGAATAAATCGGAATTTTTTTTTGTATTTAAACTAATAATGATTTTTTTTTCACCTCGATTCATTATTCGCTATCCAATTTTTAAGTATCGAATACTTTTCCATAGAATAGTCTTCCAAAGGATAACCTTTAGACGGCGAAAATTGTATTTGTTTTCCCTTCCTTTTCTTCTCTCTTCTAAACGTTTCAAAAAACTTCCGGCCTATTCAGACATAGACACATTCTTTGGTTGATCATCAAGAATTAAACCTCTACCAATAGGATTTCGTATTGTGTATAGCTTATAATGGCTTCTATGTTTGATTTCCAATCAGAAAATTTCTTGAATAAGTTCTCATTTTGTTCATCAACATAAGATCACACAGAAGCCACACTGATATCCACATGAGACTGCATGCTCTGATAACGATCTTCTTGTTTCTGCGATTCATCAACACCATGTTTATCAAACAAACTTGATAATGAACTGTCCATATAAGAATGCATACTAGACTGCATGTAATCATATTGCCATTTCTTCTGTTCTTCAAACAACTGTTTTTGGTTGTTAAGAATCGTATAGTAATGACTTTTTGATTCTTCAAGAATTTCAGCCTTCAAATTGTAACATAAACCAGACATATCTGATATGTTATGTTGCTTATAGATTCTCAACATTTCTTCCATTTTTTCTTCAGTTACATAGTTGGAACCACCAGAAGCAGAACTGCACCCAGCTCCGGTAGAAGTTCCCGAAATACCGAGAATAGTTGTTTGCTCCACATATATATTATTCGAGAATTTTGGTACTACATTATCTAATTGCCCATTCACAATACCATCTAATATATTATGTTCATCGTCCATTGGCAATGACAAACTTCTATACCATAATGTCTATAATTCTTCTTCTGTAGGCTGCAACACCGTAATTACTTGGATCTGTAATTACAATTAAACGTAAAAATCATTTCTTTAAATTTAATTTTTAAATAATTAAATGCACATATATTTGTACATTCATGAAAAAAACATACCTTCTGAGCAGCCAAAAATTGTTTAATCATTTTTTCATTTAATATTTTATTAGGCTTCCTATATATATATTATTTATTTCTTATACAAATAACTTATACATAATAAATCAATAAAAGAATACAAAAAAATACCTGAAAAGCAAGTGGAAACCCTTGTAGTACATACTTACATTCTACTTGTTCATTCCGTTACATCCTTACTATTCTTTCAAATTGTGACTCTTTCAAAGAATTTAAAAAAATAAAATATGCTTTATGACCCCATGGATATATAAGAAACTCATCAAGATACTCAACCATATCAAGAGTTCTATAATCAATTTGTCTTGAAGTTGGTTTTAACACACACTCTACCAACATAACTAATCCCAACTTAAATTTATCCCGATGATCTTCAGACATGTAAAATGCTTCAAAAAGCATTCTCATCGTAATTCTTCTTGTGCCATCAAAGTACTGATTTCTAAGACGATCATTACTATAATCGATCTCCATAAATGATTCATGGCAAGGTAATCTAGTAATTAAGCAGAATTCTTGCAAACCAAACCTAGCAACATAGCCATCTAAGCGTACCCAAACTTTATTATTTTTCCCACAATTTATAAGCTTCATTATAAGTTCATATACTAATTTACTACTAAATTGTTCTCCTTCTTCTCTATAAACAGCTTCATAAATAAATCCATAAAAATAACTACAAATCAAAGAACATTGTTGATCTGCTTCTATAAACTCTACAAAATCTTTCAGATATTCTTGATTTGGATATTGAATAATCGTAGCAGAAAATCATTGGTCTGGAGACACTATATATTCTAGAGACATCTGCATAAATTATTTAAAAATAAATATTTATAAACAAATCTAAAAATTAATCTACCCAAATGATTTAAAAATTAATATTCATGAGCAAATCTAAAAATTAAATTAGAGAAATGTTTATTTATAAATAAATCAACAATCCAAAATAAACAAATACGACATTAAAAAAAATAAAATTCTCTTTGTTACAAAAACATCCATCTCCATCTCACGGAGGCGAGCTCTGTGTCACGGAAGAGGGTTCTTTCTATGACAAGGAGAGCTCCTTCTCCGTGTCACAGATGCACACGCACTTCGGGACACGGAAAGCCCATCTCCATTTCACGGAAAGCTTAAACAAAAATAAGAAACAAAAATCTTATATAAAAAATCATCAGTTCCAAAACCAAGCTCTAATTCTCCATGATATATTCTCACGCCACAGTATAAATCTCTAAATGGTTACCTTCTCTAGCGAAATTTTCAGCAAATGGTTACCTTTTCCAGCCAAATTTTCCAACACAGTATGTGTGCACCTTATCCGTCTAAAATCTGTGGACGTCAATATGAGAATAGAAGAATGACCCTTCAGCTTTAGATACAATAATAAATAAGTTGTGTTTTGTTTTCTTGTCATAATTGAAACCTTTGAAACTTTTTACACATAATACATATACATAATTTAAAATACAATAAATTTTCTCTTCTTCCAACGTATGGACCACAAGATTCTTCTGCAATTTTTAGAGAATCTCTTCACAAAATTCTAACCTTGATAATGACAACATCCCTTTGCATGATTTTTAGGTAACAAATATTAAGATGTATGCTAACAAAGAGCATAATAAAAATAATTGGTTACATTTCTATTTATCCATTATTATAATTTATTTTTAAATTTTAATAGTAAACACTCTATTGTAGGACAACTTGACTTCTCGTAACAAACGATCTAATCCAAAATATTCCACGTTCAAAAGCTAACTCTATTAATTATTTAGTTTTAAAATTAATCATTACAAAATCTAGAAATAAATTTTATATAGATTTACTCATCACATAAATAGGTAATTAACGAAGTCCATAAGTTAATGAAATAGTCAAGGAACCAAAAAAAAAGAAAAAAAAAAGAAAAAAAAAAACCAACACATACATACAATAATAATCCATACATATTAATCATATATTGACAAGAAAATCATTCTAAAAACAACATAAAACACTAATTTTAGACTACAGATTTGACACGCTAAAAAAAGCTCCAAAACACTATCACCCGTGCATTGCACGGGAGAAACACTAGTATGCTAAGAAATATGGGACTCTGTAGTTCATTAAACTGAAAATTGAAATGTTGGACCTCAAGTCATTGTTTTAGTTGCAAGTCGGTCTCCAAATTTTATTTAGATTTACACTAGGGTAGCCATGGTTCGATTTGATCATTTATCATATAATGAAAACCATTGGTTTCATCTGTAATTATGGAATTGGACAAATATTAAATAGAATAGTTTGGTCGAATTCTATTGAACCGAGAATCGATGATTATTTTACAATAGAGCCATTAAACGGTTCCATCTGTAATTATGGAACAAATCCAAAATTGAATCGACTGGTTCATGTTTGGTTTTATAACAAAAGTTTTCTAATTTTTGAAGCAATTTTTCACACGTCCAGAATCAAGACCCATTCAATGTAAAACAACAAACTCTGGAAGACCAAACTGGGGCTTTGAAGTTTGAAGAAGAGTAAATGACCTTAATATTTGAAAAATGGGTTTGAACCGATTCTCGATTCTCAGGACTAGAAATGGCGTCGAACTAAAATTAGATGGTTCTTCTGCGGAATCAAAATCATTTAAAATTAAAGTAGAGATGAATCTAAAATATTGGTTCAGTTGGTTCCAATTATTTTGCCGACCCTTAGTTACACTTACAATGTAAGTCTCGTTGGACATTTTCTGTTAAACTTTTCAATAAAATGGCATACATAAGGTATTTGACGTGCTATTGTGAAAATTTTACATTTTGGATAAAATGATTACTCTCTCTAGAATTTTGTTATTAGGGCCTGTTTTATACAGATGTTGATAAAATTTGATAAAATGAGTGCTTGAAAAGTTGATAAAAATAGTAAATCTCACGAAATATTTGATTAAAATTAAAGTTTGACAAATTAAAAAGTGGATAAATTTTTTTTGCAAATTTTTATCAAACAAAGTTTGTATTCCTCAAGAGCAACCAATAACTTTTTCCCAGAATTGTAATCAAAATTAAGGTAGTCAAAAACGTGTCACACGACAGAATATAATTTTGTTTGATCTTGAAAATATTTTTGGAGAAGTTTTTGAATGGATATATTCTTGAATTTGTGGTTGTTAATTCTGATGCTGTTGTAGGATTCTTCTTTTCAGAATATACCTTAATAAGGGATAACATAGCATCGAATAGAGAGAGTAAAAGTGAAACCATTGATTTGATCTAAAAATGATAAAATATTTAACTATAAATGACATAATGTCACGATCTTGTTTGCCAGGACGAAGTCTATTAGTTTTCATAACAAAACTTGAAAAAGTGCTTCAGTTGCCAGTACGAAAGTCTAAGCTTTCATAATAGAACTTGGAAATACGCTTCAGTTGAAATAAAAGTGTAACGAATCGTGATGTTCTAGCAATTTGAAATTAAGCAACTAAAATGAGCAAGGTTGTTAAACTATTGTGTTGTTTAACGAAAACTGAAAAAGTAAAAGAACATAATTTACAAATTTAGAAGAAAAATGATCAATAGCTGAATCAAGACCAAATTTTGGATTTAAATCAACAATAGAAAACCTGTGCATGTACACGTTTTTAGTTTCCAATGATCTAAATAAACATTATTTTCTGGTTCATCTTTTTAATTCCAGCAACTACTGTGAAAAGGACCAAAATTGAAATCTTATTTATTTAGAATATTGAAAACTCCGAAGATTTTAAACTATTTCATGCAAAATTTGCACTCATATTTTAAGATAAGCGAATTAAATAGATAGTTCATACAAACAAGCAGAATTTTGTTGATAAACACAAACAGGTTCATCAACTAATTAGTCCACGAATTGACCAGACAGAAGGATTTGGTGAAAGTATTTGTTATTTATAGTAGTTTTACTTTGCGAGGAGGGTTTGTTGCTGTTTTGTCGGTTGATGTCTTTCTAAATAACCCATAATTATGGAGTTTTTTTTTAATTAAAGTTATGCAATAGTTTATATAATTAATGTAACTAGGTTCTTGTTTGAAATATCTTAAAAACTTAATAAAAAGTTGGGGTAAAGATGAAAATTAATTTTAACGATATATTTCATGTGACCTACAACTTTCATCAATTTTTCAACTACACATTTCAATAATTTTTATTAAAATCTGCTAAATTTTTTTATTAAAAACTTGGTGAAACAACCTTCACATTAGTAAATTTTCTCCCACTTGAAAATGTCCAACACTTCATTCATTGCATATTTTAATTTGGAGAAAGTGTGTGCGGGACTTTAAAAACCTATTATACGTTAGTGAGCTAATACGTTTTTGTTAGACATTGAACCTTGCCTTAGGTGTTGAGTGGTGTCCGCTCCTTCCTAGTCCCTTACATAATTTCCGCCGATGGAGCCTAAAGCTTCAACCACATCAAAGCAGTAAGCACTAAGTTCAAATTAGGTACCAACCATTTTATCATCATCATAGAAATTTGAAAGCCGGGTACACTATATGAATGAAATAATGTTATTCAATGTGCAGAATACGACCTACTTGTGTAGGTAAAATGTTGTGAATGTCATATTTGACTCTCTTGTATGAATAACATACAATAACACGAGCATACCCCAATTGTGTTCCATTTGGGACGACATATATACTATAATAAACGGAGTTCAGTAGAGTTCCATATGGCACATGTAAAATTCAATATAAACACGGTGGTGTAGGACTAATGGTTCGCTTGAAAGGTGACATAGCATATGTTGAATTAAACATGATGTATCATAATCTCAATGGTCAATTCTTTATTTGTTCACATAATATGGACGTTGATCCGGGATCATAATAGAGTAAACTACAACGTTGTTCACACAATTTATTGTGAAGTTTCATTTTAGTCATTTATCTTTAAATTATTTTTATTTGATCTCTTGAGTTTCTAATTTTTTTTTTTAATTACATCACAAATGTCTATTCCATTAGTAGTTTTTGTTAGAAGTGTGATTCAAATAGTAGTCTAAATTGCATTAGATTCCTTACCTTTTTTGGGAGTCTTTTAGGGTTAGATTTTATACTATAAATACAGGGCTCCTCTTTCAGTATTATTAAAGTCATTATTGCTATAATTCTCTCCTTTCATTGATTGAATAAAATAACATCGTTCCTTTACCAGTTCTTTTATTTCTTTACTTTAATCTTGTTCGTGGTTATTTGTGATCTTATTCAAAACTTCAATTACAACAAGTGGAATTCATTAAATCTCAATTCCTATATTATTGGTCAATTGGTCTCAACAAGTGGTCTTAGAGCGGGGTTGTTGGTGGATTTTTGGCCAGAAACTGATCGGAAAATCGTCTGAAAATTACCAGAAAATCAGAAAACGAATCTGACCAATTTTTCGATTTTCTGTTGGATCTGTTTTTGTGTTTTCTGGTCAAACCAAAAAGAGTTTGGAGAAACGAACACCACCAGTGGACTCAGCAGGCAGAAACGGTCACAGGTCGTTGGAGCTTTTTCTGACCAGTCGCCGGCGGTGGTAACTCCGGCGAGCGAGTGGCGACGCGTGAGGCGTTTTTCGACGACGGTGTCTTCAGGCAGTTTTCTCCGGACGACGAGACGAACCTTATGGTGGTGTCCAATTTCAGTTTTGGGCAAAATTATGGTTCTGGACTATTTTGCCCCTTGCACGTTCAGTAGTTTTCAATTTTGGGTGTTGCAGGTTGCAAGTTCTTCGTGATTAGATTGAGGTTTTTCAGAGATGAATTCGTTGAAGTATGAAATTCCGCTATTGGATCGCAATACAAGATTTTCGTTATGGCAAGTAAAGGTGAGAGCTGTGTTGACGCAGATGGATCTTGATGATGTTTTGCTGGGTTTTGATAGGATGCCAGCAAGCTTGTCTATGGAGGAGAAGCAACGGAAGGATCGAAAGGCTTTAGCGCAAATCCAACTTCATTTATCCAACAATTTGCTGTAAGATGTTTTGAAAGAGAAGACAGCGGCTGCTTTGTGGCTCAAGCTGGAGCAGTTGTGCATGACAAAGAGTTTGACGAGCAAACTGACTCTGAAGCAGAGGTTGTATTCTCATCGCATGGCGAAAGGAGGGTCACTGCAGGACCACCTTGCTGTGTTCAAGGAGATCGTTGTAGATTTGGAGACATTGGAGGTAAAATATGATGAAGAGGATCTAGTATTGGTCCTGTTGTGTTCGCTACCCAATTTTTTTTCGTCATTTCGTGATACTATTCTGTATTGTCGTGACACGTTATCCATTGAGGAGGTATACGACGCCCTGTTCTCAAAGGAGAAGATGGAACTGTTGGTTGGAGATCCTACATCTAGGAGTGGGGATGCTCTTATTACTCATGGTGATCGATGGAGGGGT